TATAAAGTTTATAAACCTTGGGTTTTATTTTTTTTTCCATTAAATTTGAAAGCTTGAATCAAATACCTAAGAGGTAATAGTTGTCTAATAAAATGACCTTACTCTACAATGGACGGTGACATACACATATGTGCGTAAAATTTCAATTATGCTTGAAACAACAGGTTTTTCTTTTAATGTTTTAAAGATAAAATTACTAAATAGACATCTTTGAAGGGTCAATATTAATTAGTAATTACACTATCTGTGGTACATGTAGGTACCTATATTATACCTTATATAATCACTAAATTAATTATTGTTTCAACGACCATCATATTTAAACACTATTAAAATAAAAATGTGGTAATACGTTAGAACGTTTACGTGAGAACGATGTTTAGAATTTGGAAGCACCAAATTCACGATTAGTTTCAAAAATCGATGCAAAGCAAAGTTTATAGATAGTTCATACAAAAATTTATTTAATTTACATAAAACCATATTCACTAATATTCTTTYATAACGTGTTACTCATATTATAGGTATTATAGGCGGTAAAGCATCTAATGTTGAAAACTATTGAGAAATTAAAAATTAACTTTCTGCGAAATATCGTCCATACATATGGAAAATAAAACTGTTATTTTAACGTCTTTAAATCTAAAAAAAAAGCGGAAGACGCACTGCTTTATATTAGGTTTCGAGTAAACCTCGTCATTGATTCGGTCATTGTAATTTGTAATAATGTGACGAATGTGTTAAATGTGTACACGAAAAACGACTCTGAGCAGTCAAGCCAGTCAACCTCTGTTTTTTAAGGATATTTTATATTTTATAATTTATTAAGTATAACTGCATGGTAAATTGAAGTATTAAACTAATTTTTGAAGAAAAAACCATTAGAATTTGGTGTTTTTCAACATAAAAAAAATATGTTGAATTTTTAGCACATTATGCATACATTATTATCAAGCCAAAGAATATCAATTTATAAAATCTAACTAATACTTAGCATGTGCTTATTTAAACAATCACATGAATACAAAAATGGAAATTGTTTTAAGGTTCTTTCATGGCACACATAGCTATTAAAATTGTCTATATAATTGATTTAATATAATGTAATTTGATATTAAGATTTACACAAAAATCCTTTCCCTTATTTAAAAAATATATATAGGTAGTTATTAACGGTAATTTCAACAAAATATAAATATATTTATTATTAACAGTTATTTAGTCGTGAGAAACAACATGTATACACAGACAAATTGCATAATTTATACATACTAGTAGCGGATATGGTCGTGAGCATGTAATAAGAACTCATGCGTTTATAAACAAAATCTTCTGATTAAGCAATCAAAACTTTTTCAGTCAGAAAAAATTATCTAATTAATTTCAGTAAATAAGCTCTTATTCTAGCGATTTAATCGAATACAATGATTATCAAAATCTATGTTTTTATTCTAAATTTTCTTTTTAAGTTTCAACACGGTTTAATATTRAGGTGTTTTAAACTTTCAAACCCAATTTTTTTTTGAATACATATGAATCGTAAGTCGATTATAGTACCAACTGTCGAGATTAATAATCAGATAAAACTYTAGAAAAATTATTTAAATTGCCTCGAAGTTTAAATACTTGAAAACGATTTTCCCATTTTTTAAATTTTTAACTCTTCAAACCATATTTTTTACAATTTTAAATGTTAAGGATTTTAAAATGTTTATAATATTAATACAAATTAATCAAAAATTTTAAGAAACTCGAGTTCGAGTAAACTTCATGACTAATATAATAATTCGATTTAGAAATTATATTAGGTACCTACCTAACTAGGTTATATTCAATATAATTATTAAAATATTAACATTAATAAAACACAAATTAAATAATATTTATCTTGCGCAGTTAGCGTTAGGCACATATTGTTGACATGTTCGTGGTGCATGCGAGGGAGTGATCCACTATTTCTTTTACTCTACTCTACAGTAGGGTAACCATATGTTCCGTTTAAAACGGGAATTTCCCTTTTTTGATCATCATTTTTCCCGACAGACATCAAACGAGACGCTTTTTGTCCCGTTTTCTCCATATTATTATATGTGAAATAAAATATATTAAGCTTAGTCAACATTGTTTAAATTGTAAAATACAAATTGTTGGGTTTTTTTTAAAGAGTATCTACATAAAACTGTTTGTCCCGTTTATTTTTTTTATAAAAATAGACACCTTACCCTACAATCACACACGCAATTGAATGATAATCACTTACTATATTATTTTTATGTAGTATGTATAAATTGTATATATTATTCAAAAATCACACATTCGCGCACTCAGAAAATTGCCTATATATATTGTATTTGAACTATTTAAAAATAGTAAGTACCTACTTAAAATAGTGCGGCATGTCCAGAAATTTTCAATGGGGGGATATTATAAATAATAATACATTTTACAATAATTTTTTGCTAATAACTAATAAAAATTATTAATTAATGACTCTAAAACTGCTCTTATAACTAATAAGTTGTTTTCAGTAGGTCGGCTAAAAAAAGGACAGTGTGGGGAGGGATACAACCGCTATAACTACCCCCCTGAACACTTAACTGGTTTTGAATCCCCGAGAAACTCTCACCAGAAAAACGTAAAACATATTAGCAAACTAACATTTAGAAGAACTAATTTTCTGTCATTAAATTTTAATATTTTAGATTCTGAGCAKAGCGATGAATATATTGATTTTAAAATGATGTTTTTGTTGTGTCTGTGTACACGATAAGTTGTCGAAAAAATGCTTCGATTTTCAACTTCAGTAGCTTTTCCGATTGGAAAGTGAATCTATAGTTGGTGCATTTTGGGGAAGTCAATATGGTTTGAAATTTTTAGAATTTTCAAAAGCACCGGAAAAAATAAAAAATAAATGAAAAACGGGTATTTATACACGAAATAAATTTTTAAGAAAATCGATTTTAGATATTGGTGTAACTCTGAAAAAATTACCTACTGTAGACACATAACATTTTCACAAAATGTTTATACTGGCATTTTCTATACTTGATAAAATTTTTAAAATATTTCAAATCTTTTTAAGTTATTTATGGAGATTTATAGACATTTTTGGTTTATTTTTAATAACAGTAATTATTTTTTTTTTTGTTAAAAAAGCTTCAAAATTTAATACAGGGCTCCTAATATATTGTTATGACGATTTTTGATGAATTTCTAACTTTAAATAATTTGTGAATTTTCGTGATATTTACATAATATGTTGTAAAAACTCAAACTTTGAATGCTTAAAAAAAAATTATGACTATGTA